TTATTATTATTATTTTTATTCCAGGAATTCGTTAATTTTAAAAAAAGTTAAAGGGAATAATAATAAATTTGTGCCTATTTTGTAATTGTAAATATAAATATAATTTAAAATTTTTTGTCTTCTGTAATCCTGCTTAATATACACACACACACACGAACACACATACATACACACACACACACACACACACATACATACATACATACATATTTTTGCGAGGTCATTATGTTAATGAATTTACAATAAACGCAAAAAAAAAAATTGAAAAATAAAAAATTGAATTATTGGTAATCCTGCTGATGCTGATGCTGCGACAGTTTTTTTTATATTCCACATTATCATTATTATTTTTTTTTTTTTCGTTTTGTTTTGTTTTTATATTAAGGAATTTGTATATATTTTTAATTTTTTTTTTTTTTTTGAATGAGCGTTTTGTTTTAATTCGATGTAAAATAATAGTTATTGATAAACATTTTTTTTTTTTTTTTATAATTTGATGAGAGAAATCATTAATTATTATGATTTTTTTAAATAAAAAAAATTCCCTATTATTGTAATGAGGGAAATTATTATTATTATTATTTTAATATTAATAATACTCGTAATTCGGTATGAGTGTAAAAAAAAAATTTTTTTTGAAGTTATTTGTGTCGATCCATTCATAAAATATCCAATAAATTAAAATAATTTTAATAATACGTTTTTTTTTTATTATCATTTATGTCTAATTATTATTTTCATTATAAGAGAGAGAGAGAGATAGTCAGAATGAATTAAAAAAGGTAAGTAGTAGTTGTCACGATTTGTTTTCCTCTTTAAAATTACATAAAACGTTCGTATTTAAAAAAAAAAAAAAACAATAATAATAATTATTATTATTATTGATCAAGACAAGATTCCATAGTCGGAAAATTGTCAAAGAATTCTTTATATAAACAATAATAATAATAATAATGAGTCTTGCGTTAATAATTATTAATTAATTTTACCTTTATACGTAGAGTAAAATCTATGTATGTCATTTGAGAAAAAGAAAATAGTAGTTTTAACCAAAAAATCATCATTATCATAAGAGGAGTTGGTCATCTTGTCTATTTTTTATATAACTATTCAGTTGCAATAACAACAAAAAGAAATTTAAAATCTCGTTTTTTTTTAAAAAAAACGGTTGGTTATATAAAAAAAAATTCATTTAAATCCATTTTTACAAAAAAAAAAGAAAAAACATTTTCCCTTTCCAAATATGGAATCTAGTTTTTATGTTTTTGTTTTTATTTTTTAAAATCAATTAATTCTTATGTTTTTTTTTTTTTATTTACTAATATAAAAGAAAAGAAAAAATTAGATCAGATTTTAATTTTTTTGTTTTGCACAATTTATGGCAAGGTTAGAACTAAACATAAAAATCCCACATTTTTTTTTTTTTTTTTTTTTAATAGCGTGGGGTAAATTCAAATTAAGTGTCATAATAATAATAATAATAAATTTTTTTTTTTTTGTTATTTAATTGGAAAAAAAAAAAAAAAACAAACGAAATTTATTAAATTAAAGTATCATGCTCAATTTGTTCTTAACACATAAACTAATATTCAATAAGATTTCATTCCATCATCATTATCATCATCAATATCATCATCATCATTATTATTACATACCGAAACGTTTTGAATGAGGATTTGAAAATAAATTAAATTTTTATTGTTAATTGTTTATTTTTTTAATAATTTTAATAAATAATTAAAAAAAGAAAGAAATAAAATTATTAATTTTTTTATATTTTCGGAAGCTTTGGCCATTTTTAAAATAACTTCAAATAACTTCTCCCCCTCTCTTCCCCCCCCCTCTCTCTCTCTCTCTCTATCTCTGTCCATTATTATTAATTTTTATCAGTCTTCAAGAGACAAATTTTTAATTTTTATTTATTTTAATAATAAATGTTGTTCTCGTGATAAATTAATGATTATAATTTTTTTTTCGGATTTCGATAATAATAATAATAATAATAATCCGTCGTTCAATGTCGACATCGTTTTAAGAAAAAAATCTGTTTTTTTTTTTTTTTTTTTTTTTTTTTGCAATTCATAAATCTTATAAAAGCTTTTATTTTGTTATTTTAAAATTTAAATTTTTACTAATTCAAACGATAGAATATATGAATATATAAAATATATTCATTCGAAAAAAAATGTCGAATAATGTTTTTCAATATTAGCTAAAAAAGAAAAATTATTTTATACTTTTTGGCCTGGGATCGTAAGGTGTGGCTGAAAAACCCACGTATCTGTTATTTTTCTTATGAACGAAACCTTTTCCAGGTGAAGAATTGTAATAAATGACTCGTCTTATACCGAAAGGATCAATATAACCAAAACTACCCACTCGTTCTTCTTTGTCTTTTCTTTGAGTTTCTTCGTGATAATGTCTTGGTAAAAAATATCGGAAACCATTTTCAACCGTTGAAATACCATCGTATGGTTGAGGAGATTCTTCTTCCTCTTTATCGTTTCCTACGTACCCTCTGTTGTTGTTGTTGTTGTTGTTTACATTATCGGTTGTTATAAAATTTCTTCTTATTTCTCTGGAATTGCTCGGAAGAGCCGTATAATAAATTGGAGGAGGTGGAGCCAATACTTGTAGGGTTTCGGGATTTGTCGATTTCAAAAATAAATTATCGTTTAAATCATCGGAATAATAATAATTGGAGGGAGGAAGTGGAGAAACCGTCAAAGGTCGAAAAGGTGATGTTGTTAAAAGAGGACTCGAAGAAACTTGTGCGATACCGAAATCATCGTTTGAATATTTATTATTTGTTTCGTATTGGGATGTTATATCCGATTGTGGTTGTACGTTGTATGAGCCAGAGGAAGAATCTGTAAGGATATGAGCCAAAGGCGGCTTTGAGGAGGAGTACAACAAAGGTGCGGAAGCTTTTGAATTTTCATGGCCGAGTTGAGATGGGTGGTGGGCGTTCGGGCGTCTCGGAATATAATTATTATTTAATTCTTCTTGAGGCCCATTCTCGGAAGACAAAAACTTTTCGTTAATACTTTTGGTTGGAATTTCATCTTTTGATTTGTCGCCTACGTAAATTAATTTTGTTTTAACTATTCTGTATCCTTGTTTATCGGCAACGTAGTCGCGAAGTCGTAGGTAGCCATTAGGGTCAATCCACCCGTAAGTTCCGATAACCGTACCTAAAAAAAAAAAAAAAATTAATTTTATTAAAAATTACGATTATACAGGAAAAGAAAACAAGAAAAAAGGAAATTTACCATCTTGTAAACGTTTTTCTTTTCTATATTGTCCGGATTTAGTCTGATATTTAAAATATCTTTCATCACCTTCATCGGTTTGTATATGATATTGATTATTTATCGATCCGTTCCAATCGTTCTGGTTTTCAACTTTACATGTTGTTAAATGTAATAAAAAAGCCTAGAAAAAAAAAAAAAAAAAAAGAAATCAAATTAAAATTTAACGATTATGTAATTTAATCCGTAATTTTATTTGAATACTTATTTAAAATAAATATAGAATATATAGATCATATCGATTGCATTAAAAAAAAGGTGGAGTATAATAATTTTAACTAAATACATAGTTAAACAAATAAAGAAAAATATAATTTTTTTTTTTTTTTTAAGGTCGCGACCTCGGTAAACAACATAATAAATTATAAATAAGATCAAAATATTTTAAATTTTATTCCATTTTTGTAAAAAAAAAAAAAGGAAAGAAAGAAAATATTAATAATTATATTTTTGCTTATAACAACCTTAAATCAATCAATCATTTATTGAATATGTCAGTAACTATTCATTCATATATATATAAAGGTGGGGTAGTTTTCCTTCTTTTTATGTACGACCTTTTATCGATACGTAATTCAGAAAAAAAAAGGGAGGAGAGAGGCCTTATCCTGATCCTTTTTTTTTGACATTTCGACCTTCCCTTTTTTTTTTCGGACTCTATGAAATAAATGAAGTTTTTTTTTTTTTTTTTTTTTAAATTGGTTCAATGTTATTTTTTTAAACAAGGATAAATTTTAAACAAACACGATTTTATAATAAATCATAAAAAATTTAAGTTTAAACAAAAAAAAGAAAAAAAGTTTTTTAAACTTATTTACTTACCAAAAAATATAATCCAACGTATAATGATGTTATTTCCATATTTTAAAATGTTGATTTTTTCGTCACACAAATAAATAAATAAATAAATAAAAAGTTTTTAAATAAAATGAAAGGAAAAAAATTATGTAACGACGACTATTTTGAAAATAGTTGACGGTTTTTTTTTAACCTGTAAGGGAAATTTTTTTTTATTTTTTTTTTTATTAACCGATTATTTAAAAAAAAAAGTAAATTTTGTTATTATTATTAAATTATTTCCCTATTAGTATTATTATCATAAGTAAAAGTTGTAATGATATAATTCATTTGATCTAAATAATTAATACAACAACTTTACAAAAAAAAAAACAACTCAAACGTTGTTCACTCAATTTATTTAACTTTTTTAATAAAAAAAAATAAAACCAAAAAATTTACTTTTTATCGGCACAAATTTTTTTTTTAAAAAAAAAAAAAAAAGTGAAAAAGTGTTAACGCGCGAAAAACTTGTTCAGCAATGTGGCGGCCAGCATAAGTCATACATAGCCGAAGAATGGACCCTGAGGTCTAATAAGCAACTGGTGGCAATTTGCGTTGGCATTTAACTTTAGCCAGCCCCTCCTTTTTATTCTTATGGTCCTTTAACACATGTATGATTTCTTAACTTTAAATTATAACCGACTTGGATAAATATCCGCTTATCGAATCATCCTTTGGAAATTATTATTATTATTATTAATTATTATTATTATTAATTACTCTAATAATAATAATAAATACAAATATTGAGGGGGAAAGAAAGAATTTTTTAATTGAAAATTATTTGAATTTTGATATTGCGCAGTCGTTAATGTATCGTTAGTATGTCACCTTATTCCCGTTTTTGGAAACAAAAAAATTTTTTTTCGAGTTTTTTTTTTTTTTTGTTGTTGTTGGGAATCGTTCCAACATTTTATAAATTTTTTTTTTTTATCAATTTCTTCACATGTCTAAGTCATGTAATTTATTTTATTTTGCTGTCGTAAAATTTGATTCGAATAATATAAAAGAGAAGAAGGATATGATGTTGGTTTATATCGAGCCTTACAATGAAAAATTTTTTTTTTAAAGAAAAGTGTTTTCAGTACACAGATTTCAAAAAAAAAATTTCTGATGTAATTTTGAAAAAAAAAAAAAAAACCATTATGAAACATCATCGGTTGAAACTAGAAAACACGTTAGGGTCGTTGCATAATAATAAAAGCGTAGGACAACAAGTTGATTTTATATTAAATAAAAAAATCGATTTCTTTAGCATTGAACCTAAAAGACCTTCAAAAAAAAAAAAAGAATATATATGGACATAAAATTTGGGAAATAATAATAATAATAATAATAATAATTGATGGCGCTTGAATATTTTTCATTTTTTTTTTAATCTACATATATGTATAATATTTCCATTTACTATTATTATTATTAAAGTTGATGGAATTATAGTGTCAAAGTGTGAGTAAATGTCAGTCATTCACACGCAATTATTATTATTATTATTATTTATTTATTTTTTTTTTCTTGTTGCTTAAATATCAATTTGAATTTTTAAAGTCCAAGTTCAGTAAACTTTTTCAACTTTTTTTTTTTCTTGGGGGGGTGGTGGGGGAGAAGATTCAATTATAAGTATGATGTCACATCCTGGATTACATTTACACTCAAATATGTTTTATCTCTCTCTCTCTCTCTAGATTACCTTTTCATAAAAATTTTTTTTTTTCGCGTAATGATGTTCATTTTCTTAATTTCAACTTTTATGTAAGAGTGATTGATGTCCTTGAGTGAATATTTAAAAAGTAAAAATTTTCCAGAATTTTTTCTTCGTTTGATTTTTGTTCAGCATCTGAAAGAAAAAGTAAAATTTTTTTAAAAATTTCCACCAAACAACTTCCTACGTATCTCAGATCCCGTCTTATCATCCCTACCTGAATCAAAGTCAATCATTATCATTAAAGAGTTTTCCTTTTTTATTTTTAATTCAATAATTTACAAACGTAAATAATAAAATCAATTTTTTTTTAATATTCAAATAAAGTAATAATAATAATAATATTAATATTAATATAATTATATAATAACGAGTGAGATAATATATATATATCTCGATAAATGTTTTTTTTTTTATGTATAATAACTTTATAATTTATTTTCTTTTTAAATAAAGAAAATTAAAAAAAAATGCATGGAAGAAACTCGTTTTCCTTTTTTTAGAAAGAGAGAGAGAGAGAGAGAGAGACAGAAAAGTAACATGGTCAAGATCAAATGTTATTAAAAAAAATTAATGAATTTTAATTTTTTTTTTTTTGTGGATAAGTAAAAATGTTTAATTTTATCTATTTTGTAAATTACTATTATTATTAAATGTAAAATTTTCTAAATAAAAATTATTTGTTTACAAAACGCAATAATTATATTATTATTATTATTAATTATCCTTATTCAAAAGAAAAATTCAAATTAAGGAAAAAAAAGGGAATAATTTTTTTTATTGCAAATGGTTTGTTTCATATGAAAAATTTTATTACCTTTTTTATGAAAGAATGCATAAAACGTAAATTTTTTTTTAAAATTAAATGCAAATACGAATTTATAAATTCAATTAATAAAAATAAAAATTCTTTTGAATCCGACTTGTCGACCCTCAACAACAAAAAAATTTTTTAAATATTAAATGAAGACTTTTTAAATTGAAATAGAGAGAGAGAGAGAGAGAAAAATTCCATTGAATGTGTTAGAGGATGGAAAAAGAAAATTCTATTCGAACGGTTTTTTCAAACGAGTTTTCCAATGAAAAGTTTTTTCTTTCGTATAATTTTGTTTACATTATCATGTCTAATATTAACAAATAATATGAACGAAGCACATTTTTTTCCCGCCTTTTTTTTATCTCGAGTGCTATCAATAAAATTCTTGTGACTGATACTAAAAAACAAAAAAAAAAAAAATATATATATATATATATATATATATATATATATATATATATATATAAGCAATTTCAATTTTGAATTGTACTTAAATAGCCTAATCAAAATTTAACGGGCGTTTAAAAAATTTTTTTGTATATTAAAAGGAAAATGTTTCCTTCTTAAAAAAAGAAAAATAACAATTTTCTTTAAATTTAAGTAGAATAACATGAGAATAAAATAAAATATCACGCGTATTGTTAATATGCCTAGAAATAGTATCATTATTACACTTTATGAATGATCACAACAAAAAGGAAAAATTCAAATGTTTATATAAATTATATTTAAAAATGATTTTACAAATTAAAATTACTCGGATGGTTCCTTCTTTTTATAATAAAAATCGTAATAATTTTATTATTTTATTCTCATATTAACATAAGTTAATTATTATTATTTTTTATTTGGTTCGTTTGTTTTTTTTGTTTTTTTTAGTGACTTAAATTCGTCCAAGAAGTTTCCCTCGGGGACTTTTCCTCATTTTCTTTCATTTCCACATTATCTTGTTCTTCCTGTGTTTTTAATTTAATTTTAATTTCATCTTCTTCAGGTCTTTTGTTATTGTCATATTCATCAGAATCTTCTACTCTTATTATTCTGAAATCGGTGGTGGTTTTATAATATGATTCGTTATATTGAATTTTGTCTTTTAAATTATTTTCTTCGTTTCTAAACATGTCTAACTGATAATCACCGGACACGGGTGTCACGTTTGAATATTCTTCGTTCCCATAATCGTAACTTATTGAATAAAGTGTATTTTCTGAAACTTGTTGCGGCTGCGGTTGCTGCTCCTGTTGTTGTTGGTGATGGTGATGATGATGATGATGATGATGATGATTGTTCCAATATGTCATTTCAGAAGTTGATGATTGTTCCTTAGGCACGGATTTACTTTTAACTTCGTAATCGGTCATGATGCTGGCTGCGGAATAGTTGGTCAAAATTGGAGAATCGTGACCGGAATTATCTAGAGTCGGCGGCGGTGACGGCGTGTCTTTATTATTCGACATTATGGGAGAAGGTGTTTTATTTGAATATACAAGGGTAGGAACTTCGGTTTTTTGGTAATATTTTTCAAAACTTTCACTACATGTATGCGATTTATCATAATTAATTAAACTTAACGAGTTCGATTGAGTTGTGATTGTGAAATTTTTTTCATAACTACCAGAATCTGTTTTGTACATTGACATAACAGGATTAAGAGTCGAGAGCACTGAATTCGCTGGAAGAATCGGCGAAGGATGATGAATGTGATGAGAATTTGAACCGGAAGTCCTGACCAAACTATCAAAAGACTGCGTGGATGAAGACAGAGTGCTAACCGGCCAAGTTATATTATTATTATTACCGGAACTCGTCCACGGATTATTCGATGATATATTGCACGATGTTTCTGTGTAAGAAACTGAAAGGAAAATAACAAAAAAAAAAAAAAAAAAAACGGTTCATTTCAAATAATCGATAAAACAAAAAATGAATTTTTTTTTCCAAAAAGTAAATATCAATCCGAAACCTTTTTCAAATAAACATACATAAATAAAACCGTTTGCTATTCGTTAATGTTAAACTTCATTTGCTACGGTCAATGAATTTGTTTGCACACTTTTTTTTGTTAGCCAATCAGAAGACGTTACTGTGGGTATTAACGAGTATTCACGTTTCATAAATAAAACCAACGTACGTACCTGTTTTTTTTTTTTGTTTGGCGCGTTTTACGTTTGAAAATAATTTTACAAATAAAAGCATTTTTAAACTTAGAGAAAAAAAAAAAAGGTTTTATGGTTAATGTAACTTACGGGTTCCCACCGACGGATTCGGACTTTCTTTTGTCGGTAACGTGTACGGCACACTTCGATGACTTTTTAATGCTGCGGTTCCCTGGGGAGAATATCTGTCGCTACTTCCACATCCCGGCAAACTCGAATTGTATAACGATGAATTAGTCGGAAATAAATTAAACCAAGTGCTCGGATCTGTAAAAAAAAAAAAAAAAAAAAAAAAGTTTCACGTTAAATTGTGGGAAAAAAAAATTGAAAAAAAAAGAAATAAAAATTTAAACCGTACATTGAGAATATTGTGTTTGAGTCTGATATGTTTGATAATCTCTTTGATACACGCTCTCTGGTCTTTCTTTTGCATCCAAAAAAGCTTTTGCAAATGGATTGTATTTTATTTTCAGACTTGTAACCTTTAAAAAAAAAAATACGATATTTTAATAATGATTACAACGATTTATCGGTTTTACGGACAGAGAAAAATCATTATGAATTATTTAATATGAAAATAATAATAAAATTTGTTACCTCTTCATTTTGATAAGCTGTCACTGCTATAAATTGAGTTTCCGGAAAAGGAAATGTTAAAACTCTTCTTTGCTCGACTCCGACTCTTACCAAATGGACTCTGGGTTCATATTTATGAAGAGAATTCAACATTATTTGTCCCGTTCCGTTGGTTTTGTTCGTCAATTTAACTTTAGCAAAAGAAACCGGTTCTTTCATCCAATGACCGCCAAAATTAGGACTTTCCGGATGTATGTAAATCGGATTTGGAGGTGCCGCTTCCGCTTTTCCCCCGGGAACCCATTCACCGTTAACGTATTTCCATCTGTAAATAAAAAAAAAAAAACTTTATTTCAATTTTTCATTTTTGTCATTTTTTTTTTTTGTTATGAAAATGTCTTTAGTAACCTGTGAGAATCAACTTGAACGAATTCAAGTAGTAAGGTATACATTGCTGCTGGGTCCAGCCCGGAAACTGAAACCTTAACTACCGGAAACATTCTTCTGTAAAAATAGAAATAACATTTACATTATTTTCAAAATTTATAAAAATAAAATCATAATAATAATAATTGAAATATTTTTTCAATGCAAAAATGCCGCCATAAAACATTAACTTACTTAAAGAATTTTTAAATTTATTTTAATTATATGGATATGAATAATGTCATTTTTCATAATGTTTTATTATTATTATTATTGTTATGATTACCTTCCGTTTTTCGTAACAATCATTTCGTTCGTAAGTGAACGAAATCTCGTCCAAAGATCCCTATCATCAAGTTGCACTAAAAGATCTCCTTCGGAAGGTTCTCTTGCCCTGGAAGTATTACCACAAGATCCATCTGGTTCGACAGCGGAAAGTATGTGGGACTGTGCCATTTGCTACCAGATACTAAAATAGTAGCAAATTTGTACTTTTACTGATTCTTTATTTAATTTCTTTTTTTTTTTTTTTAAATTACATGATGAATTAAAATCATTTTTTTTTTTTTTATGTTCTTCAATGATTAATATTTTAAATTTAACCGAATACTATCGTAAATAATAATAATAATTAGTAGTAGTAGTAGCAATTATAGTTATGATAACGATAATAAATTAAATGAATAAGAAATTTTACAAGAAATCGCGTCATGTGTATTCCAAGACAGATATTTTATGATAAAAACTAAAAAAATAATTTTTCTAAATTTTTTTAAATGTAATAGAAAAGCAAGCGTCGTCGTCGTAAACGGAAAACCGGAAACCGGAAAGGTTCCATTCCTGAATAATCGATTGAATAAAATCCTGGAAAAGATTCCGACAAGTGCACGAGACATTTTTCACGTATTTAAATTTATTAATAATAATAAATGCAATTAAGAATTTAATTTTTTTTTTTGGGGGGGACCTTTTTGGAATGGATTTCGTAGAGTAACATCACCCACCGCCATCGCCATCGATTGGAGAACTTGTCACGCATAAAATAAAAAAATAAATTTAATATCTAATGTAAAAGTTAAAAAATTTTATTTTATTATCGTATATTTAATAACCTAATAAAAAAACCGTGACCGTAATTATTCCCTTTAAATAATAAAATTTTTTACATTTTTAACATCAAAATAAAAAATTATTCAGTTTCTGCTACTACAACTACTACTACTACTACTACTAAAATAAATTTATTGCGATTAAACGCTTATTAAAAAAAAAAAAAAAAAAAAAAAAATTTATTTTTTAAAATCTAATTAAATGAATACGTATCATTTTATTATTATTATTATTATTGGAAAATTGTAACAAAAAAAAAATTAAATAAAGAAAAAAATGTTGCAAAAGCAAATACCGATGAGTTCCCATTTTTTTCCCCCCTCCCTCCCTCCCTCCCTCTCGTTTTAATATTCCCTCCAAAAAAAAAAAATATTTTATACACGCATTCACGGGAACGCGCACTCACACGCACTCACGCACACAGGCACACACACAGGCACGCACACAGGCACGCACACACACACATTGAATATGAATGGGCAAATATTTAAGTACCCCATTAGCACGCGGAAGTTTAAGAGGTTAAACTCTGCTATTATTTTTGTATATAATTATATCTATTAACAGTTTTAAAAACACACAATTATAAAACACACACACACATACGCACACATGTGTAACCCGAAATAATCACGGACATACTAATTTTTTATTGTTGTTAACCAAGTCGCATTTTTTATCTCTTTTCAAATTGACAATCCATCTCTCTTCTTTTTTTTCTTCTTTTTTTTTTTTTCTTCCTTCATCCGACTGCATTCGATTTCAGGTACGACGAATAATGTTTTAATTTCAAAACGTATCAACTCCTTCTTTTGTTTCCATTTTTGTTTTTTTCGTTCGATCCCCGTCGAACCCCCTGGATCCGATCCCCAGTAAATCAAAATTTCTTAAATATATAAATATTATCATCAATAATAATAATAATTTCAATAGTTTAATTAATTTTGTTTAAAAAAAAAAAGGATTCGAAATATCACCGTGGAAATTTTAATAATGTTAATGTGAAATGTGAATTTTTTCGTCTTTGTTAAATTTAAATATTTTTTTTTTGTTTAAATTTTCCACAAGAATTTACATGAAAATGAAAATTTATGAAAAACCGGAGAAAAAAAAAGTTAATTAATAACAATAATTTATTTGTTATTAATTCCAGCCAATAGAATTTATCCAGCGTGTAACTTTCTGCCGTTAACGTTTTTTAATTCGACCAATAGGGATAAAGTATTTAAAAAAAAAAAGGTTTACTTTACTAAGATTATTACTAGTTTTTAATAATAAAAAAAAAAACCCGTAGCGTCGTATCCAAAACGAAACAAGTGACAAATTATCATTAATTTTTTTTTATTTTTTATGTAATAAAATCAATGTGGAAATAATAATAATAATAATAATAAAACTAAATTGAAACCGGTTTTTTTACATTTTAGCCAGAATTTTTTTATTTAAAATGATATTAAAAAAAAAAAAAAAAGGTTTTTCTTTTACGGGACCGTATTAAGATTTATTATTAAAAAAAAAAAAAAAAACTAAGGCTCTTGTACGCATTATTTATACCTTTTATGAATATTTTCATAAATTCATATTTACTTTCTGTTCATTTTTTTTCTTTCTTTTTTCTTACGTAGTTTAAAAGTTATGAAAATACAATATATAAATGTTTGTGTGTGTGGGCGTATTAGTTGCATTTTTCACTGCTGAAAATATAAAAAATAATATAATTATTGAAATCGTTTAAGTTCACGATACATAAAATATAATAAAATTCAAAGACTTGAATCCATGTAAAAATAATCTTAAAAGAAAAAAAAAAATTTAAAACGTTGATGTAAAGCAAAGTTCGTGCCGGGGCGGATAATGTGTTAATTAGTTAACCAAATAAGAAAAAATTGAAAAATTTTAATTTATGTAGTCAAAGAAGATGGTTTCACTCGTTTTTTTTATTTACTCAAACTAAATTTTTTTTTATTTTTTTTTATTTCGTTCGTGCAAGGCATTTTAGCTGAACCACCATTAAGTCAACACAATTTTTCTCTCTCTCTCTTTTTTTTCTCTCTTTTTTATTTTTCAATATTTCAACGTGATGTTGTATCATTTGTGCATAAAAAAAAAAAGTTTGCCCTTTATAAAATGCAATTTTCCTACCTTTGAAAACATCGTAGATATATTCATCGTCATTTCCATGGGCGTGTTCGATTTTTGTTAAAAAAAAAAATCTTCCCTCGTTTCCCTAGAAAATCAAAACGAAAATATATTCATATTTTACACTCATATATTAGAAATATAAAAATTATTATTTTTTATTTTTTTACCATGTAAATTGTGCTTTTTAATGTGCTTAATCAAAAGTTTTTGTTTCCATTCTATTGTTGTTGTAAAATTGTGGATCTGAACTGTCGTCATTGTTTAAAAAATTAATAAAATAAATTTCCCGGTCGTTCAACAACAAATAAATGTAAAATACACATTTAAACATAATTTATAAAAAAATTTCCAAATGATCCCTAATCGAATTGAAAAAATATCTGTGGAAAATCAATCAATCAATCAATAATTTACTTTATTAATTTTTTCTGTTTTTAACGAAAGGGCAATTATATGGGCGTAACGAACCGTTGATTTCAACGTTTTTTTTCGCTTAAATTTTCAACAAATATAAAAATAATAATAATAATTAAAAAAAATTTTTTTTTTCATTTAATCCTTTCATGTTTTTTTTTTTTTTTGTTAAATTTACAGCAAATTTGATACAATTTTGCTCATCAAATAGTTTCCTCAAACCAACCAATGACTTCTTTGTAAAAATGGTGACATACCTTAAACCTGTTGCGAAAAATTTTATTTATTATCATGCTCGTGATATCGGATCAGTTGTAACTTAGGCAAAAATTTAAATATTTTTTCATTTCACATTGAAACGTGCAAAATTATTCCAGCATTTGGGAAAATTGTATGAATTTCAATCATCATATTTTGAACAAGAGACCCTCCCCCGCCCCCCATTCAAATAAAATTTTGAAAAATTTAAATGTTTTTTTTTTTTTTTCCCCGTCGGCGGTGATACAAGTAATCAATCATTCTGAGATCAGACTAAAATTTTCCATCTGACTCATCCTCGATTTGAAATTTTTTTATTTTTACACATCAAAAGCGCCCAACAAATTTTATATAAGAAGCCAATAAAAACTAAAAATAAAAGAAAATTTTAAAATTTTTCTTTTTTGAATGTGGACAAAAAATATATGTTTTTCCTGTTGCACAATCGTTTTTTATTTTTGTGTTTGTTGCCAATCAAACTAAAAATTCCCGGTCGTCCGTTTTTAGTAGAATCCTGTAAAATAATAATAATAATATTTTAAAATTAAATTTTTCATTTTATCATAGTAAAATTTCAAATTTCAAAGCGAACATTGAAATCCATTTATTCATCCATGAGGTAAATGTATTTTGTCTAAAATAGCACATATTCATTATTATTACTGTCGGCAAAAAAAAAAAAAAAGTTTGAAAATTTTTTTTAACCTTGAGAATCATCCAATTTTTAGTGAAATAACGCTTGTTTCTTTTTACCAGTAATTAGAACGGTTATACTAATAAAAATGTTGGTCACGAAAAGAACAATGAAATGCCGTTAATATTAAAACCAAGTAAGATATGTGAATGTGTGTGTGTAAAAAACGTTGAAAAACAATCATTTTTTACAAAAAAAAAAAAATTCAATTTTTATTTTAATAATTTCCCTCTCTCTCCCGCCTCCCCCTCCTACCCCTCCGCCCCCACCTCCAGTCAATCAAAATTAAATAATTATAAAAAATAAAATCCTTTGAAACTTTGTCATTAACATTGAATAAAATTTTTTTTAAAAGACGGTTAGACGGTTGTTGAATTTGTTAATCAATTAGAACTTTAAAAGGTAATGAAATTATTTTAAATTTTTTGTTACTTTAAATAAATCAAAACAATTAAAAATTATTATATAAATATCCCCGATTTATCATTATTATTTTTTTTTAAATAATAGAATATTCGATTTGAATCATTTTTTTTTTTTTGTTTTAATTATTATTATTTTTGACTTAAATTTTATTATCATAAATTAAGTTTGATTATTAAAAAATAAAAAAAATGATTTTTTAACAAAAAAATATTTATTATATAAAATCTTATACAACCAATAATGGCCGTCTATAATTATTATTTAAATTTTTACCCTAAGAATGTGTGCGTCGGCGACTATACAAAGACGCATTAGTATTTTATTACACCTTTTACAATCTAAATAAAAAAAAAAAAAAGAAAAAAGAAAAAAAAGAAAAAAAAAAGCGGGTGCAGAAGCATTCAATTTAAAA